TGAGATGGGTTGGTGTTGAGATGATGGGTTAGTGTTGAGATGGGTTAGTGTTGAGATAGGTTGGTGTTGAGATGATGGGTTAGTGTTGAGATGGGTTGGTGCTGAGATGGGTTGGTGTTGAGATGATGGGTTAGTGTGGAGATGGGTTGGTGTTGAGATGGGTTGGTGTTGAGATGATGGGTTAGTGTTGATATGGGTTAGTGTTGAGATAGGTTGGTGTTGAGATGATGGGTTAGTGTTGAGATGGGTTAGTGCTGAGATGGGTTAGTGTTGAAATGGGTTGGTGTCGAGATGATGGGTTAGTGTTGAGATGGGTTAGTGTTGAAATAGGTTGGTATTGAGATGATGGGTTAGTGTTGAGATGGGTTAGTGCTGAGATGGGTTGGTGTTGAGATGGGTTAGTGTTGAGATGAGTTGGTGTTGAGATGGGTTGGAGTTGAGATGGGTTAGTGTTGAGATGGGTTAGTGTTGAGATGGGTTGGTGATGAGATAATGGGTTAGTGTTGAGATGGGTTGGTGTTGAGATGGGTTGGTGTTGAGATGGGTTGGTGCTGAGATGGGTTAGTGTTGAGATGGGTTGGTGTTGAGATGGGTTGGTGTTGAGATGGGTTAGTGTTGAGATGGGTTAGTGTTGAGATGGGTTAGTGTTGAGATGGGTTAGTGTTGAGATGGGTTGGTGCTGAGATGGTTAGTGTTGAGATGGGTTGGTGTTGAGATGGGTTGGTGTTGAGATGGGTTGGTGTTGAGATGGGTTGGTGCTGAGATGGTTTAGTGTTGAGATGGGTTAGTGTTGATGGGTTGATGCTGAGATGGGTTAGTGTTGAGATGGGTTGGTTCTGAGATGGGTTAGTGCTGAGATGGGTTAGTGCTGAGATGGGTTGGTGCTGTGCCTCTGAGCGGCATCCTAGGCCCTAGTTTCATTGTCATTGTTTTATTTTGAAACAGCATCTGGCTCTAGAGCCCAGTCTGGCTCAGAACTCCAATCTTAGTTTCCCGAGAACTGGGAGTATAAGCCTGTGCTTTTAATTATCTTTTCATTCTGGAGTATTCCATTGTGTGCCTATACTATGGTTTAATTTAACCCATTATAATTGATAACATTTAATTTGTTTCCCTTGTTGTTTTGTGGTGTGTGTGTGTGTGTATGTGTGTGTGTGTGCGCACGCATGTGTGCATGCGTGTGCATGCTTATGGTGCTGGGGATTGAATTTAGGGCCTTGGACATGCAAGGCAAGCACTCTATCTTTAAGCTACATCCCCCAGACCTTTTGCTGCCTTTGTAATACTGCAGCAAATGTTGTCTGACGTGTGTCTGCATAGTCATGCAGTGACTTCCTTGTGGCAGATTCTTAGATGCAAACTGTAGGTCAGACAACACACTCAGGTCAGGAAGATGGCTCAGTGGATAAAAGTGCTTACCCCACAAGCCTGACAGTCTGAGTTCAAATCCTGGAGCGGATAGTGGGAGGGGAGAACTGACCCTTGAAAGTGGTCCTCTGACTTCTACCTGTGTACTGTGGCACGTGTGTACCCACAGTCACACACAACAATAATAATCACTTCAACATTTTAATGGATATGACCGAGTTTCCTTTTAGAGAGGTTCCATAGAACTTTCCTTGGTGACGAAGGAGTCTGTGTGTGCCCTATCTGGTTCTCACAGCCATTAGTGTTAGCTGGCTAGTGACATGAGGTCGAGTGTGACTAAGAATAGAATTTTAAATAGTGTTTAAAATAATGTGGGCCAGCAAGATGGTTCAGTGTGGCTCCTGCAGGTCTAGGGGCTTGGGATCATCATGCCTCTGGTCAGGATCCCTTGTGGTATCATTTAGTGCCCCACCATGTGTCAGAGCCCAAGGGACAGGCACAGAGCATGTGTGTCGCTGTGTATGTGTGTGTCGCTGTGTATGTGTGTGTGTGTGCTCTGAGCTCCCACGACTGCTTCTGTCTGACTGTTTATTTCACGCCAGTGGTTGATTTACTCCAGGAAAGTTTCTGTGGCTAACACGTCGGAAGAGTCCAAAGTGTGAAGGCTCTCTAGACCTGCTTCCAGCTCAGAGTGACTAGGCAGGAAGAGGATGACGAGCACAGGCCACCGATAGGAGAGCTGTGCCTTTGGCTGTTAGAGCAACCCAGGGCTATGTACCGGGGGCTTGTGTGTATTAAAGGCCTTGGCCAAGGTTACAGTAAGGCACCGATTGCCACCAGTATCTTGAGAACCGTCTTTCTCTCTTCTAGGGTAAAACCCCAAAGGCTGTCATCCACATCAAGGACTTGAATGCCACCTTCCAGACGGAGAAGATAGGCCATCCCCATGGGCTGCAGATCACCTACAGGAGAGAGGGCCGCATCAGGAACCTCTTCGTGTATCACGACAGCGGGAAGGTGAGATGGCTCAGGCTGCTTCTGCGGTCTCCAGCATGGCACCCAGCCCCTGGGCTCTGCTCACCACCTCCACCGCGCATTTCGCCATGTGCTTCCTCAGCTGCCCCTTGAGACCGGCCACTGCTTGCCTGGGTCTATTCCCGCTCTGTCATGAGTCAGAGACCTGAGGAAGACAGAACGGGGCATAGGAGATGGACCTTACAAGTCCTGGGAATGTATCTGGGCAGTGAGAGAAAAGCTAGCGGAGGGGGCCAGAGCCAGAAACGGCAAATCCGATGGCTGTGGCGGCACACACCAGGCCCCAGCCAACACTCAGGAGCCAATGTCAGGCGGATCTCTGTGAGTGTGAGGCCAGCCTGCTCCATACAGTGAGTTCTAGGCCAGCCAGGGCTACATAGTGCGATGACCACACACACACACACACACACACACACACACACACACACACACACACCCCAAATGAACAATGAAGACATGACAAGTCCAGGTAGGGCCGGAGATTGTGATTTGGGAGGAAAGGTGGATAAATTGGACCAGGGCCTTTCTTTCCGCATGTCACACACAATGCTCTACCACTGAGCTAAATCCCCAACCCCGACTTTGTGAGTCTTCAGGCTCGGTGCAGCCTGTGTTGCTTTTGGAGGGGACCTAGGTTCAGGTCCTAACACCCACATGGTGGTTCACAACTTCAGTTCCAGGGCAGCCAATGCCCTCCTCTGGTCTCTGTGGGCACCAGGCGCTTATGTGGTCATAGACATAGATGCAGGCAAAGCACGTATAGACATTAAGTAAAAACGAATACCTATCTTAAGAAAATTATTTTATTTTATGTATAGGGGTGTTTTATCTGCATGTATATCTGTGTAGCACGTGTGTGCCTTGTGCTCACTGAGGCCAGGATAGGGTATCTGATTCCCCTGGAATGGGAGTTACATATAGTTGTGAGGTACCATGTGGGTGCTGGGAGTCAAATCTGGGTCCTCTGGAAGAGCAACCAGTGCTCTTAACTGATGAGTCATCTGTGCAGCCCCCAAATAAAGAAATAAAAGGACTAGTCTTGGGGCACCCCAGACCCATTCAATTAGAAACTTTAACAGAGTCTTGGGTGATTAGGACATACAAAAAAATGTTTGAGAACCATTATGCGTCCATAATCCCAGGGATTGGCGGCCTGAGGCAGGAGGATCATGGGTTTGAGGCCAAATTGGGCTACATAGCAAGACTGGGACAGCGGAGCACAATCAGGCAAAAGGGTGTATGTGGGACTGAACTGGTTCAGGTCCTCAGCATAGTCAGTGATGGCACAGGATGGAGATGCTAAATGGGCATGGGGGAAGCATTGGCTGACATTTTGGGGTCATTTAACTGTGCTAGACATGCTCTTGGTGACTGTTATCCTTCATTTCTATAGAGACAGGGTTTCTTTGCGTAGCCCTGGCTGTCCTGGATCTCACTCTGTAGACCAGGCTGACCTTGAACTCACAGAGATCCACCTGCCTCTGCCTCCCAAGTCCTGGGATTAAAGACATGCGCCACTATGCCTGGCTAAAGCCTTGTTTAAAATTAGATTTCTTCCTTTTTATTTTATGTGTGAGTGTGATTCTGCTGGTGAGAGCCGATATCTAGAGCTAAATGAGTGGGCTTTCTAAGCGTGCCTCTCTCTGGGGAGGGGACTCTGGCCTGCTCTCTAGTGCCCACCTCTGTTTTCATTTGATTATTGATTGGTTTTGTTTGGTTAGGGTTTTTTTTTGTTGTTGTTGTTGTTTTGTTTTGAGAGTGTCTTACTAGGTAGCCCTTTATGGCTTGGGATTTGATGTGTAGACCAGGTGGAACCCATCTGAGTGCTGATGCACCACACACCTGGCTCTCACAGGGCTTCATGCACCACCGGTGTGAAAGTGTTTCACAGCGGGGAGGGGCAGTAGAAGCATTAGTGGCTTGCAGTTACTATTTTATAATTTTCTAGTTACTTGCTCAGGATTGTAGCAGATGTTCAAGGCAATCGCTTTTTTTTTTTTAACTTTTTTTTCTTTCTTTCTTTCTTTTTGGTTTTTCAAGACAGGGTTTCTCTGTGTAGCTCTAGATGTCCTGGAACTCATTCTGTAGACCATACTGGCCTTGAACTCACAGAGATCCCCCTGCCTGTGCCTCCCTAGTGCGGGGATTAAAGGCGTGTGCCACCACGGCCTTCCTTGTTTTCTTTTTTCGGTGCTGGGAACTTGACCCTGTGTATACTGGGTACCTTTTTGCTGGGGTGGCCCCCTTTACCTAATGCCTAAGACCCAAGAACTTTTGTGTTTCGTCTTTTATTTTTTTCTTTCTTTTTTTGCAGGAGGAGTCATGATTTGCTATGTAGCCCAGCTGGTCTTGAACTTGGAGCAATCCTCCTGCTTCAGCCTTCCTCCTGCCGAGATTATAGACATAGCCCAACACAACCTGCCAAGAAAGCCCTTAATCACCAGTGCAGGAGAGCTCAGTAGTCCAGGGGACTAGGCCCCTGGCTGGCCTGAGGGTGGAGAAGAACTTGTTGCATCCTGTTGAAACTGTAGTCAAATGATTTTCTCAGTCACCAAGTGCCTCCAAGGCCTGCACCGCAGCTATCTGAGCAAGTCCTTCAGCCTCCTCATCCCAAAGTCCTGGAAGAGAGCGTATCTGATAAGTCCAGCCCAGCCTCTGTGTTGGTCCAGCTGCTGTAGCTAAGACAGGGTGGGGATTGCAGGTGTAGGGGTTGAGGATCAGGCTGGCAGTTCTCAGAGGACGAAAGCTTGGGCAGGAGCCGAATGCTAACATCTAAACCAACCTATGGAATGGCTGCACTGTCGTAGCTAAGAGAGGGAGAGGTCAGGAGAGAGGGGGAGCAGGAGGTGGTGGGACCGTGGGCAGTGAGGGGGTGGCATGCAGGAGAGTTGCAATGGAGAACCTGGGACATGTTACAGTCCATGCACCAGGGGTTGTCAAGTATTTTTATATTTTATATATTTGTATATATAAATATATATGTATTTTATATGTAAAATATATTTGTTCATATTTTTACATTTTATATATTTGTATATATAAATATATATGTATTTTTAAATGTAAAATACATTTGTTCATGTTTTTACATTTTTATATATCTTTGTATTCTATATTTTAAGTTATAGTTCTTGGTTGATAATAGCTCTTAGGTCCCTATGCAAGGTATAGTGACTGTCTCAGGTCAGAGGAGACCTCAGGTTTAGAATACCTGGAGACATCACAATCTAAAATAACACATTTGCACTGTGTTCCTGGCACCATCTTACTCTGTGTTTCATTTTGTGTGTTATTTTATGTGTACAGGTATTTTGCCTGTGTGTATTATCTCTATGCCATGTGCATGCACTGACTGTGGAGGTCAGAAGAGACCATCAGATCCCCTGGAAGTAGACTTACAGATGGTTGTGAGCGGCCATGTGAGTGCTGGGAATCAAACCCAGGTCCTTCGCAAGAACAGACAGTGCTCTCAACCACAGAGCCATCTCTCCAACCCCTTGCTCTGTCTTGAAGCTACCAATTGTCTCAGCATAAGTTTTCTTCTTGCTTGTTTGTTTGAGACAGAGTTTCACTATATAGCTCTGGCTATCCTGGAACTCACTATGTAGACCAGGCTGGCTTCAAATACATATAGATTTACCTACCTCTGCCTGCTGAGTGCTGGGATTAAAGGTGTATACCACCATGCCCAGCCTTGGTATAAAATTTCTTTAGGAAAGAGAGAGAGAGAGAAGCAGGGTGTGTGTGTGTGTGTGTGTGTGTGTGTGTGTCTGTGTGTGTGTCTGTGTGTGTGTCTCTGTGTCGCACGCCTTTAATCCCTGCACTCGGGAGGCAGAGGCAGGTGGATCTTTGTGAGTTTGAGGCCAGCCTGGGCTACAGAGTGAGTTCCAGGAAAGGCACAAAGCAACACAGAAAAACCCTATGTCCAAAAAGAAAAAAAAGAAAGAAAGAAAGAAAGAAAGAAAAAAGAGAGAGACAGAGACAGAGAGGGGGGCAGGGGGGAAGGAAAGATGAGTGTGGTAACACACATTTATAATTCTGGTACTTGGGCGGTAGAAGTAGGAGGATCACAACAAGGTTCAAGTGTGAGCTGCATGGCAAGACCCTGTATCAAAAATAACAACCAAATACAAAGGTGTGGTAGTGCACACCTGCAATCCCAGGACATGGGAGGAAGAAGCAGGAGGATCAACAGGTCAAGGCTAGCCTCTGCTACTTAGCTGTTTGAAGAGGCCAGCCTGGGCTACACGAGACTGTACTTCGAAAAACAAAAAAGCAAACAAACAAAAAAAGTAAAAAAGGCTCTGGAGATACAGATCAGTTGCAGCGGGCTTCCCTGGATACTGTATAAAGGGGCAGCGCAGGGAGGCTGGAGAGACGGCTCAGCAGTTAAAGAGCACTTGCTGTTCCTCCAGAGGACCTGGGTTCTGTTTTCATTATGCACATGGTGGCTCGCAGCTGCTTATAGCTCCAGTTACAGGGGATCCAAGACTCTCCTCTGTCCTCTGCAGGCAACAACACACTTGGGGGCACATGCATACATATAGGCACTCACACGTGCACATAAAATGAAAGCATGGGGACAGGATGAAGAAAAGAGGAAGATGTCTGACTAGAGAGCAGCTGAGAAGGCCTTGGAACATCTCCAGGCGAGATGATGTTGCTCCACGATGATGAAGGATGTAGTCTCTCACTGTGACAACATAAAAGTCCATCCAGTTGTGGCCTGGGCGCATGCCAGGTCCTGAGCATCTCTGATGGAAGAGTGTCTCTACATGCAGCCCCCACCCGTACCCCAAAAAGTGTGTGTCCCACCAGCCCACAGCATCGCAGGACCTGAGAGTCCGAGGGTGAAGGGATGTGGTCTCAGGTCCACTTCACACCCATGAGTCTCCTAACAGGAATCCAGGTGATTCTCACAAGCTTTAGGAAGTGTACTAAACCATTTTGTGCAGCTCACACGGGTCTCTTTCCGTGCCTGGGAGGTCTTCCTGTCTGTGACTTCCGACTAGCTCAGGGCAGTCCCCTGGGCTCTGACATCACCCTATCCGGATGTCCCTAAATGTGACTGTGTGATGTGTGTATTTGCTGATTGCAGGTGCGTGTGCTGTAACCCTGCTACCTCCAGCCCCGCCAGCAGGGTCCTCCCACATCCACCCATCTCACCACCGTGTGTACTTTGAATTTTCCCTGGCAGGAGATAGTGGATTGGTTCAATGCTCTCCGTGCAGCCCGCCTGCAATACCTAAAACTGGCCTTTCCTGATCTCCCAGAGTCTGAGGTGAGCTAAATGTGGGCTTGGCTTCTGAGTCCCCCCTCCCCTCCCCTTTTCTCTTCCTGTCTCCTGATAACTCTAAGATACTCAGGGGCTAGACTAGGTTTATGGCAGGTAAAGCCAGGAAGATTGGAGGGTAACAAGTCTCTGCAGGGTCCAGGATCTCAGCCTTCGAACATCTTTGTGACCTCTCCTGCTAAAATAGGCAAATGTGCCCTACATACTGCATGCAAAGTGCTTTTGACCCATTTTATCTCATAACTCTTCCTATACAGTAATTACGTAGAACAGGCAATCGGGCTGGGTGATTATTTCTGTTGAGTAATGGAATGAGCCGTTCCCTGGGGATCACCGCTGTGTGCTGTGGTGCCCTGTCCCTGGGAAGAAGTTGGGTTCCTCCTCATTACAGGAGTGGATCTGCCTGTGGTGGTAAAGGTAACAGTAAGCTGAGAACTGCATTTTGATCGTCCCCAGACATCTGGGACCTCCATCTATTTCTCGAAGACTTGTCTGGGGAAGCTGGAATGGCATGGGCCAGAGGATGATGTTTTAAGTCAAGAAGCCTAGGCCCTCATGAATGCTCTGTCACTGACATGCTATGTGGACCCTTACAGATCATGGGCCTTCCTGAGCATGTTTCCATATTAGAAAAACAGTGGTTGGTCCAGGTCTCCTTCAGGGTCCCTCTACCTATGAGGTTCTGTAATTGAAGATGTAGATTTGCTTTTGTTTTATTTGTTTTTTTATTTTGTTTTTTGAGACAAAGTCTCTATATGTATCCCTGACTGTTCTGGAATTCACTCTGTAGACCAGGCTAGCTTGGAACTCACAGAGATCTATCTGCCTCTGCCTCCTGAGTGCTGGGATCAAGGGTGTTCGCCACCACGCCAGCCTTGAGGACTTTTAAGCTTCCTGTTAAAAGGAATTTTTTTTAGTGATAGGGACAGAGGGACCATGCTGATACTTGGGTCTGTCTTGCTTTCTTTTTGACAGAATCTTTTATAACTGAGGCTGGCCTAGAACTCACTATGTAACTGAGGATGGTCTTGAACTCCTCACCTTCCTCCCTCCACCTCCAAATATTGATATTATAGGCCCAGTCACCACACACTGAAATCCTGAACTTTCTTTTTCGTGAGTTTTTTTTTCTTTCTTTCCATTTTTTGTTTTAAGTTTTTGACATAAATTTATTTATTCTGTGTGTACACTAAGCCATCTTCCTGGGGTCTCGTGTATGTGTGTGTGTGTGTGTGTGTGTGTGTGTGTGTGTGTGTGTGTGTGTGTATGTATACACATACGCATGGGGAGGTTAGACATCAGCCTCATGTGCCATTCCTTAGCTGCTGCCCACCTTTATTTTCTTGAGGCAGTCTCTCTCATTGGCTTGGGCTCTCCCATTAGGCTGGCCGGCCAGAGAGCCCCAAAGATCCTCCTGTCTGTGTCTCTCCAGTGCTGAGATTACCACACTCACGACCATGCTCGGTTTTTCATGTGGGTACTGCTGCCCAAATGCTGTCCTTGGAGCACATGGCAAGCATTTTGACCGCGGGACCATCTCCTCAGCCTGATCCTGGAGTTTCTTAGCCTCATCTGTCAGACTTTCGGTGAAAGCCTAAACGTTCCTCAATTCCCAGGGCTTACAGGGAGCTGGATGTCTGGGATAGGGCCGACTTCAGGCTCAGTGATGTGCCCATTTAGAAGTTCCCTAGGCACAGTTCCAGCAAGGCGAGGGGTCAGGGCCCGAAGCTGAAGTCGCTGTGCTTAGTCAGCACCCAGAGCTGGTTGCGGCTGGCTCAGTGAAAGTCCAGAGTGCTGACTGCTGACCCAGGAGAGGGGAGGGTATGGAGCAGGTGCTCAGCCTTAGTTCACCTGGCCTGACTTCCTGTGTTTGCGAACCTGTGTGGAGGACGTTAGCCTTTGACCAGTGTCCTCCAGGTCCCCTCGTCTCCTACCGGCCCTGCCTGCCCCTCTCTCTTGTCTTCCCTATGTTTAGGTGTGGTGCCCAGGCTTAAGAATTTGGTGCTGGGGACCCAGGAAGTATTTGCCGAGTTGTAATGCTTTCATCTGAAATGTGGTGTGGCTCAATAGTCCAGCGCGGGCCTCGTTTGTCTCAGACCTTGAGTCTCATTCTCAGCACGAGGAGAAAGAAGCTAGGCTGGGTGGCCTATCATCCCATCATCCCTTTGGAGGCTGAGGTGGGAGGATTGCAGAAAGCTTGAGGCCAGCCTGGGCTACACAGAAAACATGTCAAGGGTGGAGGAAGGAAGGGAAGGAGGGATGGAGAAGGGGAATGAAGGAAGCAAACACCCTGGAGTCAGAGCCTAGGGTGCTGCCCAGCACATGACATCCCCCCTGAGCTCAGTGTGCCCATCTGTCATGTCACCATGGCCTGATGCCACCTGCCAGACCATCATGAAAACGGAGGGAGCCAGTGTCTGGAGTACAGGAAAGGCTACTGAAGGAGAACTCCGGCAGGTGTCTTCCTTGTTTCTCTTGTTCCCCTAGGCCTAGACTAGCCCTGTGCTGGCTCAAACTCAGAATACGGGACCCTGGGGGTCCTAGTTTCTCCAAACAGAATGAATCCTATAGAATATGTTGAGGAGAAATGGAGTAGCCTAGTGTAGATTTTCATTTTGGGCCTCAACCTCTCTCTCTCTCTCGTTCCCTGTCATGATTCCCCATATCCCACCTCAGCTTTGCCCCTGTAACTCCAGAGACCCTGCTGTTGGTCTTAGAAATCTAGGCTGCCATTTGAAGCCCTGGATTTGTCCAGTCCCCCTCTCCCCACTTCCTGGAAGCATAAGAAGTCGTGGTCAGTTTCTGGAAGCTTCTCTGAGCATAGGAAAGCAGGTTGTGAGGGCTGTTGGAGGTCACGGTAGGAAATGGACCTCCAGAGACAGAACCTTTACCAAGGTAACAGCTGGTTGAGGGCAGAGTGGTGCTAAGATTCTGGTCTCCTTCATTTATTTATTTATTTATTTATTTATTTATTTATTTATTTATTTTATTATTTATCCAGAGCTGAGGACTGAGCGGTCTCCTTTATTTATTTATTTATTTATTTATTTATTTATTTATTTATCCAGAGCTGAGGACTGAACCCAGGGCCTTGTGCTTGCTAGGCAAGCGCTCTACCACTGAGCTAAATCCCCAACCCCAGATTCTGGTCTCCTAACACCCAGTCCAGAGTTTTCTCTTTTTGTCCACCCTGCTGTTTCCTCTTCATGGCCTGTGTCAGATTCTGTGAGCAGGTCTCAGCTGGCATGGGGAGGAGTCGGGTGCAGGGGCTCTGCCATCTTAACGGGGGGGG